CTACAAATATACCCCAGCGACTTAACACTGCTTTTGTGCTCCAGGCTCACATTTACCATTTATAAATTTTTTGAATTAGCTTTTATTTTTTCCATTTTAATTTTAGTCATTTTGTTTTGTGATTGTGATGTTTAGTGATTTTTGCTTTTGTCATTTTATTAGCTTTTTTATACATTTCTATTTAGCTTTAATGCAGATAAACATCACATTTTCATTTTTGGGTGAACTATCCCTTTAAATTTCAGTTAGCTGCCAAGGCAACACTTTAGTTTAAGCTAATATTTATGTTTTATTTCAGCTTTATTTTAACTAAAAAATGAAAACTAGTTTTATTAGTTTTAGTAAACAATAACTTAAAACTTAAAAAAATAAATAAAAATTGCTGCCATTATACAAATACAATAAAGCTTTCAGCTATAGTTCACAAAAAAAAATTTAATTAAAAAAACTATTTGCTAAACGGTAATTAGGGATGCATGATTTGGGGGGGGAATCTAATTGATTTTTTTTTCTGATAAATTTTGATTGCGATTTAAAATGCAATTTTTTTTTTTAAATCCAGGTTTGCTGTACTTGTTTATAGGGCTGCACAATTTGGCCAAAATTATAATTATTTCTTATAATAATAATTATTATTAGTATTAGTATTAATAACAAAATAAAAACCAAAATACATTTTACTATTGTAATATTTCAGTGTAAAATACAAACAAATTGAGTATTTAAGAAATATAATAATAATCACAACTGTAAAATTACCATTCTAATATTTTTTTCAAATATTAAACCACTGAACTTTTATTTTGACTGAAAACTGCAGTAATTTATTTATTTTTTTGGCTAAGTGCTTTTCATTACAAGTTTGGGAACATGGTTGGTACATGTGGAGTTCCCAAATGCTTTTCTTTTGATTAATCATGCAGCTCTAATAGTTATGCACACACCACAGATAATTATATAACTAACACAGTTCTATAAATAAGAGATAAGCACAAACCTGCTGGAGGCCGCTGAGATCGATCTGTTTCCAGAACTGGAAGTCTAAGCAGAGATCGCGCCAGTACTTACAGACCAGAGACGCACCCAGACATCTCTCCTTCACCGACAGGTGAGAAAACACCTGAGAACACATTTCAAACGGGTTCATCGAAAGCTCATCTGTTCAAATACATGAATGAATCAAGATCCGTACTGAAATTAGAAAAAAATATTGAATCTGAGGATTTCAGCTGCAGGTTTATATCATGCTGCTCATTACTTTTGTACAAAAAATTCTGGTATTGTGTTGGGGCACTAATTGATGTCCAAGCCACTGGTTTTAGGCAAGACAAATAACTAATATATATATATATATACACACACACACACACACACACATCACCATACTTCCCCAGCTGATTGATTACATTAAGAATTGCAAACATTGATTGTATTGCAAATTTTCTGAAATGTTGTGTTTAAATGCAGGTTAAAATTCTTGTTTGATTTTGTTTATATATTTAGAGTTAAAGGTTCTTCCAGAGGGGATTTTGAATTTCTATTTTTATCACTCCATAAATAAATAAAAAAAAATGTGTGAAATACACATTTTCACCATGTTTTTAGGAATAAAATCAGGTGAATGATATATGATCAAACCCTCAGTGAAAACCTTCAGGATATAGAGAGGAATAAAACTGTAAAGTCTGGTGTAGGTAAGTGCTGCTGAAGTGGAGAAAAAAAAATGAACTGTGAGAAAACAGCATTTAAAAGGTATGTATTATATATTATATATGTATTATATTTGAATACCACAGACACAAATAGATAAAGTGCATTAAATAAACACTTAAAGGTGTATTTTGGATGTTATGACATAAAAGACATGTTATGAAAAGCGAAATATCTCAAAATTTGTGACCAGTGCATGAAAAAAAACATGCTTTTGCTGTAATGTGAAAACATCACAATAATCCACACCACTCCAGTCCATCAATTAACGTCTAGTGAAGAGAAAAGTTGTGTGTTTGTAAGAAACAAATCCATCATCAAGATGTTTTTAACTCAAATACGAGTCCATAATCCATAATAACGCTTCCTCCAGTGAAAAAGCGAGAAATCAGGACAGAAATCTGCACAGATCAAGAAAGCCAAAACTGGATTTTAATGTGAGAGACAACAGGAGATCTCCTTTCAGCTTTTGTCTTCTCCAGATGTTAACTGATGGACTGGAGTGCTGTGGATTACTTGTGGATTATTGTGATGTTTTTATCAGCTGTTTGGACTCTCGTTCTGACGGCACCCATTCACTGCAGAGCAAGTGATGCAATGCTACATTTGTCCAAATCTGATGTAGACACAAACTCATCTACCTTAGGGAGAGGACATTTACAGGACATTTTCATTTAAATATTCCGTTAAAGAAAGTCACAGACCTTGAGCAGTATCGATGAGGGCAGCTGGTTAATGTGGGACGTGTCTGTACTTTCAGCGCTCTTTGCCTCCTCCGAGCTCTCGTTTTGGGACAGCTGACAGCAGCAGGAGGAGGAAGAGGAGGAAGAGGAGGTTGCGGCGGAGCCCGCGTCTGTATGCCGCCCCGCGCCGGAGCCGTCCTCCTCTGAAGGAGAGGAAGAAGAGGAGGATGAAGGCAGCGAAGGGAGGAGGCACCGGCTGTCTCCTCGCTCCTCTCCGTTCTCCATGGTCTCCTGGAAGGCACAGCGAGGCTGCTTGCGGGGCGTACACCGCTGCAGCTCAGCACACTTGCGCTTGCACACCATTTCCGAATAGTCCGCGGCACAGAACAGCGCCGGGGGTCCGATCAGCTTGGAGAGCAGACTCCGACCCTGGCCCTCCCAAACGGCCAGCTCTCCCGGAGAGAGGAGGAACTTGGCGCACTCCTCGGGCGAGTTCAGTGACACGTAGCGCTCGGCGAGTTTGGAAGCCGCTGCCACCGCGCTCTCGAAGGGCCAGTCGTCCTCGACGCTCCCGCTGGTGCCGTGCACGATGAAGCACAGCATGCAGGGACCCTGAAGGAAGCAGTTCCTCCTCCTCTTCTTCTTGCGCAGCTTCCGTGATTTCTTCTTCTTCTTCAGGCTGTAACCATTTTTTGAGAGAAAATGGCCCATATAGATGATTCACGGTGACTCTGGGGAACGAGAAAGCAAATTACAAACAGAAAACGAGATCGTATACAAGCAGTAAAAACCGCTTGGTTGAAGTCATATTTACAAGTTTACTTCATTTTTGTTACATAAAACAAATCAAACAGCAATGGCTGGAACTGTAAAAGATCTGCTACTAGTGCAACATGACATGCAGACATAAATGTATTTATCAAAAATATATTTATATATTTATCCCACAACTTAATTTGCTGCATCATTATAGTAAATCATGGCCAGGTAGGACTAATTTGATTTAATTAAAACATGGCCACGATTTACTAAAACAAGGGAACGAATTAACACAACATCACCTCAATTTATTAAAACAAGGGAACAAATTAACACAACATGGCCTTGATTTACTAAAATGAGGGAATGAATTAGCTACTAAAGCAAAGACATGGTTTACTAAAACAACAGAAGAAATTAGTACCACATGGCCACGGTTTACTAAAATGAGGGAATGAACTATTAAAGCAAAGCCACTGTTTGCTAAAACAAGGGAAAAAATTAACAACCATCACCTCAATTTATTAAAAAAAGGAAACAAATTTGTATAACATGGATTTGTATAACATGGCCTTGTTTTATTAAAATGAGGGAAAGAATTACTAAAGCCAGGCCACGGTTTACTAAAACGAGCGAACAAATTTACAAACAAGGGAATGAATTAGTGCAACGTTGCCACGATTTACTAAATCAAGGGAACCAATTAGTACAATATGCACAATATACAATATTAAAAACTTGGTCCCACTTTGTATTAAGTGGCCTTAACTACTATTTACTTACATTTTGATTAATCATTTGGTACAATGCACTTATTGTGTTCATACATGTTTTTTACACTGTATTTATATTTTTAAAATACCTGCATGTAATTACATCTGTAATTAATTTCTGAAATTACATTTATAATTACACTGTTGACCCATCCCTTACACCAACCCATACCACCAAACCTGTCCCTAACCTTACCCGTATCACTATCACTAACCTAACCCTAACCCTCAGTAACAGCAAAAGTGTTTTGCAATACAATATGAACACAATAAGTACATTGTACTTATTTTATGTAAGTAAGGCCACTTAATATAAAGTGGGACAAAAAACTTTTCTGTATTGTTTAACGTTCAGAATCACTATAAGTGTTCGCAGATTCACAATATGTAGACATTTAAATTAACCAGCACAACAGGTCAACTTCTGATTCAATCATCCAATAGAGTGAGTTTGGGGCGGGGCTATCAGTTTGAGTGACTAGTGGCAGACAGTAGGCGTGTTTGGGAAACATGTTTGACAACAGTCATTATTTATGCAGTTCAGTCTGATGACAGGACAGGTGTCAGCTGATTGAAGCTTCATTATCGCTTCTAAATGAGTGATATTTACTGCAGGCATCAGATTGAAGAAGCATCTTTTGCTCTGAACAGCAAATGTGCACTGAAAATTTGATTTTGACTCGGTTACATCTACACAAAACCATATCAAAGTATATTTGTGGCTGGTGCATCACGGTTTGAGCACTAGTTACTCCAAGTGCCTCAAAATCATTCTGACAGAAAAATAAAAATACACTAGACACTTGATCCAGAGGAAACAAGGAAACACACACAGTCACATTAGTTACAAATTATTATATAAACAAACTACTGCACCAGCATGAGGCAGACCAATACTGAATGTCCATCTACTAAGTTAGCAAATGAACAAATGTAACCATATAAATACCATGAACATGTAATCCATTCGTACTATGGTCTATATCTATACCATAACTGTACTTTCTGCATGGATAACGAGTATATAGAACAGCAGGGCTGCATTATATGTCTCAGATATCAGGTATAATGTGTGAGTGAAGCTCTGTGCTGCTGTTATCTCTCAGCAGGAACCGTATAAATATTCACAAACAATGAAAGCCACTGCTGTCACTGCTTACACACGGCTGTACGGAGCCGCTGACCGCTCGCCACTGAGTGTTGTTGTGTTTCATTGAGTGATAGCGGCGGACGACGCCATTAAACTCCCTCGTGAGAAAAGAAGCAACACCGAATAACTGTCATAATAAAACCTCCCAATCCTCACCAGCTCCCGCGGCCCTCAGCACCTCCTTCCCGCGCTCTCATAATCCGCGAGACACAGAAACAGAAGCGAACGCACTGCAAACGCGCTCTCGCTATGTCAAGCTGCTACAATGTTTCAAAACACTTCCGGATTTCAACCTCACCAGCTCCCGCGGCCCTCAGCACCTCCCTCCCGCGCTCTCATAACCCGCGAGACACAGAAACAGAAGCGAACGCACTGCAAACGCGCTCTCGCTATGTCAAGCTGCTACAATGTTTCAAAACACTTCCGGATTTCAAATAAGAGGAAATCCCGCCCACGGCTCCAGAAGAGAACGGGCGTTCATTGGCCAGATTATCTGTCTGTATGGACGCGAGGGCCAATCATCTGTGCCTTAAAGGGAACACTTTAAATAAAGCTATAACATTTGTAAACACTCTTGATGCGAATGCATCAGTGTTGCCAGGTCCGCGGTTTTCCTGCGGAATCGGGCTATTTTAAAGGGGTAATATGATGTTGCTAAAAAGAACATTATTCTGTGTATTTGGTGTAATGAAATGTGTTTATGTGGTTTAAGGTTCAAAAAACACATTATTTTCCACATGCTGTACATTATTGTTTCTCCTCTATGCCCCGTCTTTCTGAAATGCATCGATTTTTACAAAGCTCATCGGTCTGAAAAGCGAGGTGTGCTCTGATTGGCCAGCTATCCAGTGCGTTGTGATTGGCCGAATACCTCAAGCGTGTGACGGAAATGTTATGCCCCTCACCATACTGTGGGGGTTGTTTTTCATGTCCGCGGGTTGAAGCGACCCCAATAACGGGATACTTAGAGCAATCCATGAGCAGATCCTGCAGAGCAGAAGAGGAGAGAATGAACAGAGAGCACTGTACATCTGACAAACAGCAGATCACTGATTCATGAGCACTGAACCAAACACGCGACTCAACTGAATCATTCTTAATGAATCAACTTAACACATTTCACCTGTTTGGTGTTCATCTGCTCTTTTTACATTGACTATCACTCTATACAGTATTATAGACTAATACATCCAGGTACAACAATCATTTCTCAAATATGTATTACAATAGGCTATATACTGATAAGTTTAGCATTCACTTCAATGGTATGAGAGACTGGATCAGTTGGGAGGCTACATAAGGGTTGTGTATTACGGCATGGAACAGATTTTAAAACGCTAGTCATTATACACTTACTGACTTCGTAAACAGTCACAAAGTTAAAACTGGGCATCATACACTACACGACTGAGGGGGGGTCAATCTGTCAGTCAATCACTCAGATTGACGGCTGGCCCGCCCAATCAAACGAGGAAAGAAGAAAAATCCTGCATGCATTACAATAATTGCTCAAATACATGAAAATACAAACAACATGCATGTGTGAACAAGTAAAAGAAAAAAATAAGTAGTAATAAGATCCTGGTGGATGAGCGCTGATCTTCCAGTTTTGCTCTTCTATTCTGTTGCAAACGCAAGTGCTGTCAATATAAGCAAACAATCCAATCTAGGCGTGCTCCAGCTGTAAAACAATCCCCGACTGGTCTTTAGTCATCGTCCCATCCATCATTCCTGAGATCCAGTTTCTATTGGTTGAACTTCCCAACGATTACAAATTGCATTGGAAAACACCGCATCATCATCATCGCAACACGATCGGATCTTAGATGTTCAAAGCAGCATGTAATATCACTCTAAAGCCTGGAATACACTTTTACCCCGATTTACAGTCTGGAGAAGTCCACGCAATAGTTGCCGAAAGTCAGAGCCAGTCTGCAGATTTGAGTCATTGGATTTCATAGAAAATCGCGTAGTGTATAGCGGTTATGATGTTTTTAGCTTCAGACTTTGATTCCATCCAGTCGGAGGAGATCAAACATGTTTGATATTTTCAGCCGATTTTGAACCATGTTTTCATTTGTCATGCATCTTCAACAAGGCGCACACTTCTGCATGAGTCTGTTGTGATCGGAGTGACTTTAAGTCTGGTAGTGTGTGATCCTCAGTCGTGTAGTGTATGATGCCCAGTTTTAACTTTGTGACTGTTTACGAAGTCAGTAAGTGTATAATGACTAGCGTTTTAAAATCTGTTCCATGCCGTAATACACTACTTTTAAAATCTGACCAGATTTTAAAACACTAGGCATCATACACTCACCGACTTTGTAAATAGTCACAGAGGAAAAACTGGCCATCATACATACAAAGTCGTTCCGATCACAAAAATCACACGAAATTTGCATCCTTATTTTTATCTCATGTAAGCTATTGTAAAATTATTTTTGAAATAGGCACTGAGGTCCACCCTATGTTACACAGGTCCACTCAATTTAAAGTGCCCCTATTATGGATTTTTTTTAAATTACCTTTCATGAAGTGTAACACAGCTCTAAGTGAATAAAAACATCCTGCAAAGTTTTAAATCTGAAAGTGCACCGTGTATAGAGTTATTGTCTCTCAAAAGAAAGAGTCAACTCTGAATCATTTAAACGAGTTGACGTCAACATGAAACATTAGCATATT